GAGCGTCTAAGCCAGGGCTTGGGCAGGAGAGGCTCTTAATTGTTTCTGAGTCACGGCGCTTTTGTTGTGTTTCAAGAGAACAGCTTGTCAAAACAAGACGCCAGCCGGACTGAGGTGGTTTCTAAGAAGGAGCTTCACAGCTGTTTCCCACTTGTCATCTTTATGAGCAGAAAATGTGAAGTGTGTTTACAACCTAGCTTTGCACATTGTCAGATTTTTCCCAGCACCCTCCAGAAGTGCAAAAGCCCGGCTTCCTCGCCTCAGGCTGTCCCGGGTGTCTGGAGAGCAATCACTCTCCCAGGCCAAGCCTGCCTTGTCTGTCCTGCTACAGCGGCCTGGCCCATCTCCTCTAATGGAGGAGTGGCCCCGGACGCATATCCTCCCTATGTTGGTGGGAGCAGTGGCAGGAGCCGTGGCAGCGAACAGGACAGGCGGCTGTCTCTTCACCCAGGGACCTTGTCACCAGGATTCGCATGTCCTGCTGGCTTTGGGGATGGGCCGTGTTCCATGGTGGGTCTCCCTGTGGACACATTTGGGGGCCCTGGAGCATCTCTGGGCAGCCTGACAGAGTCCGGAGATGTCTCTCCACCGCTCACTCTGACCTGGAGAGTTGAATGGGGCCTTGGCTGCTGCTCGGGCCTGTGTGTTGAGGGCTCAGTGCAGGTTGGGTCCAGGATGTGGCTTGGAGCAGCAGTTCCCCTCCCCTGGAGCCAGCGGTCTCTGGGTAGGGGCAGGTCTTGGGGCTTAGGCCGAGATGCCTCTCCTAGGTGGTGGGCACATCAAAGAGGTCATCGTGGGTGCTGAGGCGGAGCCGGGGGACAGTGAGATGGCCGAGGCCCCGGGCAGCCCCCACCAGCAGGGACTGGGGCTCGCAGGGGAGGGCGAGCCGGCCCAGGTGAAGCTACTGGTGAACAAGGACGGCCGCTATGTGTGTGCACTGTGCCACAAGACCTTCAAGACGGTGAGCTGGTGTGTGGGGAGCCAGTGTGCGGGTGGCAGGCCCCCTCCTGTTCCCCTAGGACGGCCCTGAGCTGCCACGCCCTCCCCCACAGGGCAGCATCCTCAAGGCCCACATGGTCACTCACAGCAGCCGCAAGGACCACGAGTGCAAGCTCTGTGGGGCCTCCTTCCGCACCAAGGGCTCACTCATCCGGCACCACCGGCGGCATACGGGTGAGCTGGCTGCACCTTGGGCTGGAGCCCTGTAGCACCCCGATGGCTGGCCCTGGGGTGCCCCAGCCTCGCACTCCCCAGCTTTGGGGATGAGGCAGGGTCCCCTGCCTGTCTTCACCGTGTCACCTTGTCGCCAGCCTGCTGGGGCTGCCTGGGGCTGACTAGGTTCTCTCTGCAGATGAGCGCCCCTACAAGTGCTCCAAGTGTGGGAAGAGCTTCCGGGAGTCGGGCGCACTGACCCGGCACCTCAAGTCTCTCACCCCCTGCACGGAGAAAATCCGCTTCAGTGTGAGCAAGGATGTGGTTGTCAGCAAAGAGGATGCACCTGCAGGTCAGCATGATGCGGGCAGCTGCCTGATCCCGGGGACTGGCTGTGGACCCAGCCACCACTGGGGTATGTGAGGGAGCTTCACTCCTTCACTCTACTTTGAAGGGTCTGGAGCTGGAGCTGCCACCTTGGGGACAGTCACATCATCGGTGACAGGCGAGCCCATAGAGACTTCACCTGTGATTCACCTGGTGACAGATGCCAAGGGCACCGTCATCCACGAAGTCCACGTCCAGATGCAGGAGCTGCCCCTGGGCATGAAAACCCTGGCCCCGGAGGTGTGGGCGACGGGGGGCCCTGGAGGGCCGCTCTGTCTTCTGCCTGCTTGGTGCCAGTCTTTGTTCTGAGCACTGGCTCCAGGGGTCTGGGCCAGGCAGGCGAGGGCTGGAAGAGCAGGGCTGGTGGGAGCACCATGGGGGTCTGAGGGTTTGCACAAGGCTCCTGGCATGGGTCTGCCCCATGGGGTGGGTGCTGGATGCCAGGCTGCCTGGCCAGCCTCCTCTCTCTGCCTCCCCTGCAGCCCCCCATCTCCCAGGAGCTCCCCTGCTCCAGTGAAGGCAGCCGAGAGAACCTGCTGCACCAGGCCATGCAGAACTCCGGCATCGTCCTTGAGCGCACCGCTGGGGAGGAGGGTGCCCTGGAGCCAGCCCCTGCTGCTGGGTCTAGTCCCCAGCCCCTGGCAGAGGCAGCCCCGCAGCTGCCAGTACTGGAAGTGCAGCCGCTGGAGACAGTAGGTGCCGGCATCACCTGCAGGCTCCTCTCAGGGCTGGATCCCGGGGGCTGTCCCCATGCTGGCCTTTGCACTCCCTGAAGTGGTTTTCTGCAGTGACTTTGTCCATTGATCTGTTTACTGCCTTCCCTGGGGCCACGAGGGAGCCTGCCAGGGTGGGGCCCATGGTTGTGTTCCTGGCACTGCCAGGGCACAGCCTGCCGCAGGTGCTGGAGGCCTTCCTGTGGTTCCCCAGCAGGTGGCCAGCGAGGCCTCAGCGGTGCCCAGAACCCACCCATGTCCTCAGTGCAGTGAGACCTTCCCGACAGCAGCCACCCTGGAGGCCCACAAGAGGGGCCACACCGGTGGGTGATGGGTGGGTGTGTGGCCCACAGCAGTGGATGGGCTATAGGTGACCGGGGTGCCTCTGGGTGTCCAGGGTGGGTCCATAGACAGCAGGGAGCCAGGGGAGCTGTGGGCAGGTGGCAGGTGGCCTGGAGGGCCCGCCGGTGATGGGCCTGGCCTGATGTGTGTGGCTGCAGGGCCGAGGCCGTTCGCCTGTGTGCAGTGTGGCAAGGCTTTCCCCAAGGCCTACCTGCTCAAGAAGCACCAGGAGGTGCACGTGCGTGAGCGCCGCTTCCGCTGTGGCGACTGCGGGAAGCTCTACAAGACCATCGCCCATGTGCGTGGCCACCGGCGTGTCCACTCAGACGAGCGGCCATACCCTTGTCCCGAGTGTGGCAAGCGCTACAAGACTAAGGTAGGCCTCTGGCCTCAGGACCCTGGCACCTGACCCCCCATCCTGCTTCCTGGCCCTGGCCCCGGTGCACCCCCTTCCCTGCCTCCACCGTGCTCCGTCTTGGCCTAGCCCCTCCCTTGGGCCAGAAGTGGGAGGGGAGAGCTGTAGTCTGCTGTGGCCCAGGCCAGGCTGGCACTGACAGGTGTCTCCACAGAACGCACAGCAGGTGCACTTCCGGACACATCTGGAGGAGAAGCCGCATGTGTGCCAGTTCTGCAGCCGTGGCTTCCGAGAGAAGGGCTCGCTGGTGCGGCACGTGCGACACCACACAGGCGAGAAGCCATTCAAGTGCTACAAGTGCGGCCGTGGCTTTGCTGAGCACGGCACGCTGAACCGGCACCTGCGCACCAAAGGTCTGGGCCCGTGGAGTCGGGAGGAGGAGGGGAGGGGCCTGGGGCTCGCCAAGCCCTGACTGAGTCCCCACCCGCAGGGGGCTGCCTGCTGGAAGTGGAGGAGTTGCTGGTGTCCGAGGAGAGCCCCGCGGCAGCCACCACCGTCCTCGCTGAGGACCCGCACACGGTGTTGGTGGAGTTCTCGTCCGTGGTAGCCGACACCCAGGAGTATATCATTGAGGTGGGTGTGGGGCCCTGGGGCCAGGTTGGGACCCAGGGGCAACCAAAGCTGACCTCTATCCTTCTGCCCATCTGCCCAGGCCGCTGCGGATGATGCGGAAACCAGTGAGGCCACGGAGATCATCGAGGGCACCCAGACGGAGGTGAGGGGTGGGGCGGGCGGGGGCAGGGAGGCTCCCTGGCGCAGCCGCTTTCGCTGAGCCGTGGCCCTGCAGGTGGACAGCCACATCATGAAGGTGGTGCAGCAGATTGTGCACCAGGCCAGCGCCGGCCACCAGATCATTGTGCAGAATGTCACCATGGATGAGGAGACAGCGCTGGGCCCAGAGGCGGCTGCTGCTGACACCATCACCATCGCAACCCCCGAGAGCCTGACAGAACAGGTGGCCATGACACTGGCCTCAGCCATCAGCGAGGGCACTGTGCTTGCCACCCGGGCAGGGGCGAGTGGCACTGAACAGGCCACTGTGACCATGGTGTCATCAGAGGACATCGAGATCCTGGAGCATGCAGGCGAGCTGGTCATCTCCTCGCCAGAGGGCCAGCTGGAGGTGCAGACGGTCATCGTCTAGCATGAGGTCTGCGGGGTCCTGGCCGGGCAGGGACAGGGCAGAGGACCTGAGAGCCCCGCCCACGCCTGCCTGGCAGAGAAGATGGCACAGAATGGAGGCGCCCCAAGATGGGCAGTGTACATAAGAGTTTCTTGTTGCTTTACAATAAAACATGAGAACCTGCAGCGTGTGATGTTGCGGCAGTGGCAGCCTCCGTGGATGGTGCCACCACCTTTGCCCAGGTCCCGGCAGCAGCACCTGCCTCCCAGGCCACCCCTAGACTCACGTGCCTGGCCGCCCTGCCCAGGGGCTCCCGCCAGCCCTGGCGGCGCCTTGGTGGCGCGTGGGTGTCATTGGCATGTTGACCAACAGCCTCCTGCCCTGCCCAGCTGGAGCTGTGCCCCCAGCTGCACTGCCTGAGGCCTGTGGGTAGGTGGGAGGCCCAGGGACGGGGACAGGGAGATCTGGGAGCCTTGGCCTCCACCACAGGGTGAGCAGGTGGAGCAGCAGGAGATGCTGGGCAAGGAGTGTGGCTGGTCCTTCCTGTGCTGCCTTCCTTTCCCTGAAGGGATTCTGCTCAGGGAGAGAGTCTAGGCGACCTAGTTTCTAGGGGTGGGGACAAGAATAGCCACACTGGGATGTGGCTGACCGTCTACCTCCATCCTAGGGGGCTGGCAGGGGCTTCTGGGACGGTTTTGGGACAGGCCTGGGGCACCAGAAGGGGCTCAGGCAGGTCTCCCACCCCTTACCCTGGAGGTCTCCATGGGAATGAAAGCCAAGAGTTCATCAGGCACCCAGCTCGGTCGAGGGGGCGGGGCCCAGCGCAGCCAGGCCCCTCCCTGGACCAGGACCTCAAATACCGGCCCCTGTCCTGGTGCCAGAGCTGCTGCTGGAGGGAGTCAGTGCAGTCCTGCGTCGGACACGCCTGCAGCCTGGACCCGGGATCCCCATTCCCCTAGAACCCCTGAGCCTCGGGCCTCCGCACCCACATCCAAGGTGAGTCTCTCCGCGGGCTGTGCTGGGGCTGGATGGGTCGGACCCTGTATTCCAGCTGCAGCTTCCCGCGCAGTGAGAAGGCAGCGGTCCCTGAGAACCCAGCAGTGCCCTGGGAGCCTGCAGAGCGCAGGGGCGGATTCTGCGTCGCACTGGCCGTCACGGAGCGGCCGCGGAGGAGAGGGGTGGGTCGGTGGGTCTGACAACAGGTCTGCCTAGGCGGCCGCTTCTGTCCCTCCCAGCCCCTCGCTCCGGGCAATGAGCGGGCCCCGGGCCCTGCTGGCCGCGCTCTGGGCGCTGGAAGCCGCCAGGGCCACGGCGCTTCGCATCGGAGCCTTCAACATCCAGAGCTTCGGCGACAGCAAAGTGTCGGACCCGGCTTGCGGCAGCATCATCGCGAAGGTGGGGCCCCGGCCGGGGCGGGGTGGGGCGGCGTTTGGGGGTGCTGACCGCGCTGACCCCGCACCCGCGACTCCTCCCCAGATCCTGGCGGGTTATGACCTCGCGCTGGTGCAGGAGGTGCGAGACCCAGACCTCAGCGCCGTGTCCACGCTCATGGAGCAGATCAACAGGTGTGGTGGGCAGGGCCCCTCGTCTCGACCCCCGACCGGGATCTCGCCCCGGCGTGGCGCCCTGACCCTGAGCGGGCCCCTGTCTCTGCAGGGTGTCCGAGCACGAGTACAGCTTTGTGAGCAGCCAGCCCCTGGGCCGGGACCAGTATAAGGAGATGTACCTGTTCGTGTACAGGTGAGGGGCGGACCGCAGTGAGGGGCGCGCGGGGCCGCAGGTGGGAGGCTCAGCGCGTCCCCCCCCATCTCCTAGGAAGGACGCGGTGTCTGTCGTGGACACATACCAGTACCCGGACCCCGAGGACGTCTTCAGCCGCGAGCCCTTCGTGGTCAAGTTCTCGGCCCCCGGCTCAGGTGAGCGGGCCCCGCCCCTCCCCTGCCGCCGACCCGCCCCTCCCCTTCCGCCGGGACCTGACGCCCGACCCCTTCCCGCAGCAGCGCAGAAGCTGGTGCTGATCCCGCTGCACGCGGCGCCGCATCAAGCCGTGGCGGAGATCGACGCGCTCTACGACGTGTACCTGGACGTGATCGACAAGTGGGGCACCGACGTAAGCCCACCCCTCGGTCCCGGGGTCCCTGCAGGCGCACCCCGGAGGTCTGGGCCATGAGGGCGGGACCTCGACGGCTCCTGGGGCGGCTCAGACTCGGCTCCGCGGCGCCCGCAGGACATGCTGTTCCTGGGGGACTTCAACGCCGACTGCAGCTATGTGCGGGCGCAGGACTGGGCTGCCATCCGCCTGAGAAGCAGTGAGGTCTTCAAGTGGCTCATCCCTGACAACGCCGACACCACGGTGGGCAACTCAGACTGCGCCTACGACCGCATCGTGGCCTGCGGCGCCCGCCTGCGCCGAAGCCTGAAGCCCCAGTCGGCCACTGTGCACGACTTCCAGGAGGAATTCGGCCTGGACCAGACTCAGGCGAGTGGGCCGTGGGGCGGCGCTGGTCCTGGGTCCCCATTGCCCGGGCGCACGCAGGCAGCAGGGAGGGGCCAGCACCCAAGGAGGGGCCGCCTCAGCTCCCCTCCCTGCACCAGGGATCATTTCCAAGGACCCTGAGAGCCTGGCCCACCCCATGTGGAGCTCCGGGCAGGGAGGGTACCTTGCCTTTCCCTCAAAGGGCCAATGGTGACACCCTCTGCCCCGGCCCCTGCCCCACCACAGGCAGCAGCAGGCGTGGGCACCTAGGCCTCACCGCCCCTTCCTGCAGAGGCAGTGGCTTGTGGACACCCAGTGGGCCCATCCCGGTGGCTGGGGTCCACTTTTCCCCTGAGGCTCTTTCTCTTTCCCCAGGCTCTCGCCATCAGCGACCACTTTCCGGTGGAGGTGACCCTCAAGTCCCACAGATGACTCGAGGCCTGGCTGGGGCATGCCACCTGCAGACCCTGGCCCTGAGGAATGGCCCCACAGTGGCCCCTTCAGGGTAGCAGCCACCCTTCAGTGAGGCCCCAAGGCAGAGTCGGCTGGGCGTGGACCAGGGGCCATGGACACGTAATGGGCTGCCCTGCAACTCTGTTCCCCATCTGTGAGACGGGCTGCATCCAGCGACCTCAGGGGGTGTTGTGAGCCCCATGAGGGGCACATAGGGCACTGCCTGGCAAATGTCTGCTCAATAAATGAGCCGCTCCCAGCCGGGCCCCACAGCTTGGCTCCCAGGCCTCTGTCCTTCCTAGGGACCTAGCCTCAGCTCCTCAGGGCAGCCCCACTTCCCTGAGGAAATGCAGCTCAGGGAGGCAGGCTCTGGGCCATGTCCTGGGCTGCCCACCCCGTGTCCTGGTGGGACTTGGCCACCCCCAGAGCCTGTTTGCTCCAGAAGGCAGCTCAGGGACCCTCCTTGCTCATCCTCTGTGCAAACTACAAATGCTCTCAGGAGCCTGTACTGTGAGCACAGCTGGGACAGGGATGGCGCCGACACACCAGCCTCCTGGGCCCTTGGGGGGGTCTCAGAATAGCTCTCTCCAGGCCCACCCCGCAGCCCCCATTCCAGGGCCCTGCGGGGAGCCCCCAGGCACTTGTCTCAGGGGCCTGGTCTCACCCAGCACTGCAAGGGGAGACTGGCCCCAGTCGGTCGGCAGTCCTGGAGCTTTTGGGGAGCCTGAGAGCAGTAGGTGGGCTGGACTCCTCCCTGCAGAGGTAGGTGGCTTGGGACTAAGGTCCCGTGCAAAGAACTGCACAGCTCGCTATGACTCAGCCCTTCAAGTTTGCTGTCCTGTGCCCTGGGCAAGGCCACCACATTAGGATTGGGAACAGGCAGGCCCATGGGTCCACTGGGTCACTGATGGGGGCCCGATGAGGTTTCTGGTTTTTGAAACATCACATCTTAGCAAGGTGTGGGAACTTGGTCTGAATTGCATGGGAGGAAAAACCTTTGTTTCAAGGATTTGGATGAGTTTGGTTCTTGCAAAATCCTTCTTAAGGGACATTTGGAACCCTGGCAGCATAGCTGCCTCCAGAGTCCCACTCCTGCCGGCTCAGGATCCCCCAGTTGCTCTGATTCACTGTCCACTCCCTTCATCCTGATGAGTAAGGGCAGTGGCCAAAAGGCTTTTCTCTGGGGAGTCCTGTGTGGGTCATGGGGGCCAAGACCACCTGGCCTCACACCTAAGAGCAGGCAGTCCAAAGCCGGAATGGACGACCAGGGACTTGATTTACGATTCTGTCTTGGGAACGGAGACACTCAGTGGCGACCTCACCAGGTCCAGAATGGCGCCCCCTGCCAGTCACAATCCCAAGTCAAAAGGCTGCCCTCAACTCCCCTTGCCTGCTGGGCACAGGCACCCATGTGTTTGTGTGTGGTTGGGCCTTGGGTCACCGGGCTATGAGGAACAGGAACTTCTATGTAAAATCAGCCAAATGAAACGCTGGCAGTACTTTTAAGTTGAAAAATGCCTTGTTTAAGACCTCCCTGGGACCCAGAGGGGCACGCGTGGCTGTAAGTCTGTGGCAGCCCAGCTGTTAGCCTTTCTTTTCTTTGAGCCTCTCTAAGTACAGCTGCAGGGACTTCTGGATGGAGTCTTTGGAGATGAAGCTGACGAAGTTCTGCACGTCCGCATCACGCTGCGTGATCAGGCGGCTGGCTGTGGCCTTTCGCATCATGGCCTTCGTCAGCTGTCGAGCATGGTCTAAAGAAAATGGGACCTACCACTGAAATCCCGCTTTCAGGGGCAGTGGGGTGACTCCCAACTTACATTTATTTATTTTTTTTTGAGATGGAGTCTTGCTCTGTTGCCCAGGCTGCAGTGGTGGGATCTCGGCTCACTGCAACCTCCGCCTCCTGGGTTCAAGTGATTCTCCTGTCAGCCTCCCGAGTAGCTGGGATTACAAGTGTGCGCCACCACACCCAGCTAATTTTGTATTTTTAGTAGAGATAGGGTTTCCCCACGTTGGCCAGGCTGGTCCCGAACTCCCGAGCTCAGGTGATCTGCCCATCTTGGCCTCCCAAAGTGCTGGGATTACAGGCGTGAGCCACCGTGCCTGGCCACTTAACGTGTTATTTTCACTCAATTATATTATGAAGAATATTTCCATGGTGCAGGAGGCTGAGGCAGGAGAATGGCGTGAACCCAGGAGGTGGAGGTTGCAGTGAGCTGAGATCGTGCCACTGTACTCTAGCCTGAGCGATGAGTGAGACTCTGCCTCAAAAAAAAAAAAAAGAAAAAAAATTTTTTCCATGGCAATGAATATTCTCTTATAGGACAGGAAATGGCAGAATAGCCTTCAGTTACTTGTATCAGGGTTGGTAAATCTGGCTTCCCAAGGCCCTGAAGCTATGAATGGTTTTTACTTTTTTTGAGACCATATCTAACTCTGTCGCCCAGGCTGGAGTGCAGTGGCATGATCTTGGCTCACTGCAACCTCAGCCTCCCAGGTTCAAGTGCTTCTCTGGCCTCAGCCCTCCTGAGTAGGTGGGATTACAGGCACCCGCCCCCACACCTGGCTAATTTTTGTATTTTTAGTAGAGACGGGGTTTCGCCATGTTGGCCAGGCTGGTCTCAAACTCCTGACCTCAGGTGATCCACCCACCTTGGCATCTCAAAGTGCTCGGATTACAGGCCTGAGCCACTGTGCTGGGCTGGTTTTTACATTTTTGAATAGTTGAAAATCAAAAGATTAGTATTTTGTGACAAGTGAAAATTATGTGAAACTCAAATTTCAATGTCCATAAATCTTTTTTTTTTTTTTGAGATGGAGTCTTGCTTTGTCACCCAGGCTGGAGTACAGTGGCGTGATCTTGGCTCACTGCAACCTCTGCCTCCTAAGTTCAAGCGATTCTCCTGCCTCAACCTCCCGAGTAGCTATAATTACAGGCACGTGCCACCATGCCCGGCTCATTTTTGTATATATTTTTTTTCTTTGAGACGGAGTCTTGCTCTGTTGCCCAGGCTGGAGTGCAGTGGTGTGATCTTGGCTCACTGCAAGCTCCGCCTCCCGGGTTCACGCCATTCTCCTGCCTCAGCCTCCCAAGTAGCTGGGACGACAGGCGCCTGCAACCACGCCCCGCTAATTTTTGTATTTTTAGTAGAGATGGAGTTTCACTGTGTTAGCCAGGACGGCCTCGATCTCCTGACCTTGTGATCCACCCGCCTCGGCCTCCCAAAGTGCTGGGATTACAGGCGTGAGCCACCATGCCCGGCCCATTTTTGTATTTTTAGTAGAGATGGGGTTTCACCATGTTGGCCAGGCTGGTCTCGAACTCCTGATCTCAAGTGATCTGCCTGCCTCAGCCTCCCAAAGTGCTGAGATTACAGGTGTGAGCCACCGCGCCTGGCACAGTGTCCATAAAGCTTTGCCAGAACACAGCTACACCTGTCAGTTTACGTCTCCTCTGTGGCTGCTTTCTGCTACAAAGGTCTTACCTACAGAGCCTACAAGTCACCTGGCCCTTTAGAGACAGCATTTGCTGGGCCTGGTGTATACCGTCGCTGACATGACCAGCTCTATTTCTTTTTTTTTTTTTTTTTTTTTTTGAGACGGAGTCTCGCTCTGTCACCCAGGCTGGAGTGCAGTGGCCAGATCTCAGCTCACTGCAAGCTCCGCCTCCCGGGTTCACGCCATTCTCCTGCCTCAGCCTCCCGAGTAGCTGGGACTACAGGCGCCCGCCACCGTGCCCGGCTAGTTTTTTGTATTTTTAGTAGAGACGGGGTTTCACCGTGTTAGCCAGGATGGTCTCGACCTCCTGACCTCGTGATCCGCCCATCTCGGCCTCCCAAAGTGCTGGGATTACAGGCTTGAGCCACCGCGCCCGGCCGACCAGCTCTATTTCTATGAAGTGGACAATTGTCTTTGTAGTAGGTTGAAAAGTGTGTCCCAAAAGATAGGTCCAATTCCTAACCACTGCTCTGAAACCTGGAAGTGTGACCTTATTTGGAAAGAGTCTCTGCAGATTGTAATTAAGTTGGGATCATCTTGGATTTAGGGTGGGTCCTAAATCACATGGCAGGCATCCTGAGAAGGGAGAGAGAGACCTGAGACCCATAAAAACACAGGGGAGAAAGCCGTGTAAGGATGGAGGCAGAGATTAGAGCGAGGCGTCCACAAGCCCAGGGAGGCCTGGAGCCAGCAGAAGTGGGCAGGGGCAGGAAGGAGCCTCCCCTGGAGCCCAGGGAAGAAGGGCAACTCTGCCCACACCTTGATTTTGCACCTCTGGTCTCCAGCACCGTGAGATCAACTTCTGTGGTCTGGGCCACCCGGTCTGTGCTGCGTTGTTACAGCAGTCTCCTGACACCCACATGACTGTGATTCTGAACAGTCTCCTGCAGTCATGATGTCCACATAGAACCTTTGGGTGGAGAACCTTCTGGTCTCCCCAGCATCATCGGCACCTGCCATGCCCTGTGCCTCACCTGGAATGGTCATCCACTGGGCTATCGCTGACAGCGCAGTGCTCTGCACCTGCTCCTCTGGGACTACCTGGTCCACTATGCCCACCTGCAGGGCCTCTGCCGGCGGGAAGAGTAGCCCCAGCTGCAGTGCACGCTCGGCCGCCCGGTGCCCGATGACATTCTCCAGGGTGTCTTTGAACCTGGAACGCAGACACCCGCTCACCACGTGGCCCCAGGTGGGTCGGTTCCCTCCACAACAAGCATGGAGTGTGGCTGCAGCCCTGGGCCTTACCAGAAAGGGGCGACGATGCCCAGCTGGGTCTCGTTGAGTCCTATGCAGTATCTGGGGTTGTTTGCCAGGACGCGGTAGTCACAGGTCAGGGTTATCAGGCAGCCTCCTGCAGGGCAGGCTCCCTGCAGGGAGAGGCCGGACAAGGCTCTTAGACTCTTAGGTGCTGCTGGTCCCAACCACATTCCAGAGGGCCGGGTCCAAGGATGCCAAGGAGGGCTTGTGCCCTCGACGTGCCCGAACCCCCACAGGGCTCCATACCCACAATGGTCTGGGCTGGGCTGGGTGTGCACCAGGAAATGGATGGGGAAGGAACTGGTCCCTTAGTGCTCGGCAAGGAGGGTCTGAAGCTCGTCCTCAGCTGAGGGTCATTAGTTCTTAGGCAACAGAAAAATCACTTTTTAAAACCATTCAGTTAGGGGAGCAAGTTGGTTGTCCTCTCAGAGCTTTTACTCAATGCTAAAATGCCACATAAGCATTTAGTCAGAGCTGTCATGCCCCACGGGGGCCCCATTACCACCCCAGCAGCTAG